AAGAACAACGTTAACAACAGGAGGATGGAGGACGCTGTGATCGGAGCTGTGTTTTTGTTGTGTCTCGCGGGTTTCACAATAATGGACATGGAAAGTCGACGTATACGTAAAGCGATTGAAAGAACGGAAAGGAGGACTAAGAATCTGCAACGACAACTGTCAGTGCTACATTTGCTACAAGTGCCTGCACTTCAGCGTCCGTCCATTTATCGCTGTTCTCCATACTTGCGAAATAAGTTGACTCAATGTTTATAGTATGTTTACACAGAGTTTTAAATCATGGCGGGTGAGGGCGTTTTCATACGCGTTTGGCCAATCAAGGTCTACTTACGTCACAATTAGTACCAGTTGTGCTGGTTAGACCCTGCTCCGGAGTAGGAGCTAATTTGGTTCTCGAAAAAGGCAGTCCGGTAGAACGGACCCCTGAATATCTGTGCCGTTTCAGAACAAGGTCCTCCTTACAAAGGCCTGATAGAGCGTCTACAGTCTGGTACTATGAAAAGGTTCCCGCGGTGCGAAAGGCCCTAATAGGGGCTAAAGCCCCTTTGGGGCTTGGCCCCTAACAAACATGACAGCACCAGAACTAGAACTACTGCTCATTTGAATGACTGACTCGTGTCGTTGTGAGGTACTTACCAGTAACAGACTCTGGACGTGATCAGCTCCGATCTTATCAATGTTGGACACCACTGGCCCATCCATCACAGCTTTAATACGAGCACCCTCTACAGACAGCCGAGGGATGATCAATGTCTTTATCACCTACATGGAAATTAAAACGATTTAATGTTTACTCTCAGTGAATGATCAGCACACTGGAATGATAGAAAAACAGCTTTTGAAAAACCAATACAGTACACTGTTAAGCAAAATGCATAGCGGCAACTTGTTCAGTCAGGACTATATTCACAAAACAGCACGGCCTTAAATGCCTTAATGCTTGAATAAAACAACACAGTAGCAAGCATTCATTATTCATTAAGTTCATTAATCATTAAGTGCCTTGAACTAGAAGGTAAACTAAGGTTATCAGTTGACCTTTATGTCACAATTAAACTGCACAGAGTAAGTAAACTTTTAATTTTGGGTAACTTTTAATTTTTTATTTTATCATCGATGATGGTGTCTAAAGAAATAAATTTAAAAAATCTTTAATTTAATCAGTCTGGTAAATCAACAACTGATTTAGAACAAAACATTGCATTTTTTTATATTTTTTTGTCAAATAAGACTGCACAACAGAACTGTATGAATTACAAAAACACCGTGAGCATCATGTGTTTGAGTTTGTGTAGCAGACAAAACTACGCCACTCATTCACACAGAGACATGCAGAACATGCAGACATAATAGTGACATGCACTGACTGGCTGTTGTGTTTATTTCTGCTGTGTGGTAGGCTGTTAGATTAATCTATCCAACTTATTTTTCCCGTAAGAGTGGGCCATTTGTAAATTTTATGGGCCTGGCTTCCGGTGTCATCCGCTTCCAGCTATATTTAGCTGTACAAAACAGCTTATTTTGCTGCTTGATATTGCAAATTGGTGTGTCTTACTATATTATTTTAATGTATTATCTTTTTTAATGTATTATGTATTACAGTTTTACCATTTACTGCACATTGTTATTCTTCTTGTTATTTCCATATAGCAGCTAATGACCCAGAAGTCTCACCCATAGGCTTACTTCCACGTTGAAGAATAAGGTGGATAATTCACACGCTGTTTAAAACCAATAGGCCTACACCAAAAATAATGGCAAAACAGGTGCTATTTTATGTTATTTTTTCCATTTCACCAGCAGGCCAGGCATATTCTGAAAGTGCTGCGTGTTTAACCTTGCGTTGACGTGTTTTATGTTATATTACATCACAGGAAGCACAATCACAAGGAACGACAGAGCGCGTGGACCGGAGCGCTTGCCACCTGCGACGAGACACAACGCGCCCAGCTAATGAACCAAAAGTCTCGCACATTCACAGAAAGCAGCTTACTTCTGCATTGAAAAATAAGGTGGATACCGAGTAAAAATGTCCAGAGCTAATGTTACTGACATACATTTTTTCACACGCCATGATATTGTTTAATGGCCCTATTGTACTGATCAATTAACATTCAAGACCCTAAGAAAAATGTCACCAAGTTACAAGTTATATTATATATAAAAAAGTCTAACTATAAAAGTGCTTCCAAAGCATTAAATACAGTTTTTGTTGACAGTAACTCACGTCATGCCCAAGTTCAGCAAGTCCAGCAATGCAGCCATAACGAGTTGTCCACTGAGTCTTATCATCCAACAATGCCTGACAATAAAAAAAAAAAAACATAAAATAATGACGGGCACTTCAAGCTTTTTAGACCACTTCCGGTGCATTGGCTTATCAGGTATATTTGTTTAACTTAGATAAAACTAATATTTGTTTGTTAACACACAATGAGCATGGTGTCTACTACCTTAGTAAACGTCTTGGTGATACGTGACTGGATGTTGTTGGTTGTTGTGCTGAACGTCTTGCAGCTCTGAGCCATCAGCCGGGCAGCAAAGTCTCGCAGAGCCCAGTGATTGTCCACGTCAGGCCTCAGACACAGCTGCTTACTGACAATACACGTCACCACCGCTGGGATCAACTCATGGAGCTGCAAGAGTGAAAGTAGTTACATTAATAAAAATATAATTTTCCTAGAAGTAGGTTTAAGAACTCAAAATGTCCTTCCCCGGTCCAAAAAAATAATTTACTATAATCTCAAAAAACAGCTTGTTTTATATGCAAAGAAGAGCCTATCATAACACAGCATGTGTACATAGAACTTTTAAAGGTACAGCAGCAAAACAAATCAAGGGTCTTAATTCTAAAGGTCAGAGTGAGAGTGAACATGATTTTGAAAAACTAATCAAAAAGGTAAAATAAAATAGGTAACATTTTCATAAGAGATGTAAATAAAGTGTATGTTATTATTAGTATGTAGTGTGGGAATAGCTCACATATTTCTCCAAATATAGAGTTGGATTGTCCATTAAAGCCTTCACCATCCTCATCAAGTATATCAGCAGAGCCAGGTTATTCTGAACAACATTTACACGGACCTGAAAGAGAAAGAGATAACACTTATTCTTGTTCCAACAATATAGAGGAACTAACACAGGCTCGGTTCTATGGGGGTGCACCATCAACGAAAGCAAGAGAGCACTCTCACGTTGTCCAAACTTATTTTACAAATGCTCAAAACACCTTTTTTTGTTCAGTGCTGAGTTCTGCACACACACACAAATCTTTTCATCATAACAAATTAAGTGTAGACAAGATGCTTGTAGACAAGAGTTTCATTGTGTATTCACAACCAGTATTGTATAAAGCGCTATACAAATAAAGGTGACTTGACCATTCAGCTTCACTGATTATACGAGAAATTTTTTGCAAGAGTGCAGCAGAAATTTGCAGACATCAGAAAAAGATTGTGATGAAGTGAAGTGAGTGACAGCTTTTTAGTGATTATAAAAAGGAGCACTCTTCCTGTGCTTTCTATATATAGCAGGCCTGTGCAAAAAATTGAATGCGATTTTCATGCGCATCTCGTCAGTAAAGCCGCTTCTGCTGACAATCGATTTTGTGTAGCTTGTCAGTGAACTACGGCTCTGTGTAGTAAATGCCTCTCCATCTGAAAGCACGTGCTGGAGCTTAACTACTAATCACCAGAAGCGGCTTTACTGACGAGATTCGCATGAAAATCGCATTAGATTTTTTGCCCAGCCCTAATATATAGTAATTAACAATTTAACTAAAAGGTTTTTTCATGCTGCTAAGAGGATTGACAGTCACATACATGCTGCAAAGTTTCAGGAGTGACCTCCATATTGTGACATTATTCGTATAATGTGAGATTCACTCTTGAAATTGCAATGATTAACATAGTGAAAATGAGTGCAATGGATGGGACAAAAAAAAAAAAAGTCAAAACAGATGTGCATTAAACAATGTAAATTCAAACTAATATATAAATATTCCATGTCAAGAAAACATTTTGTTAGTAGGGGAGGTGGGTGATATGACCCAAATCTTATTTTACTTATTCTTATGAGAAATTTTATTTCACGATAACAATATATCCACAAAAAATGCTCAACCAACTAAAGAGGGGATGCAACCAAAATCAAAGGAAGAGAAGGTTGTGGTGAACAACAGTCGAGATAGCATTCCAGGGACCAGTTTATAGCAAGGCCCCTCTCTAAACTGCCGTGGAGGGAGATGTGCAACTCTGTGATTGGACCTTGGTGGAGGAACATAAACAAATGTTCAGAAACATCAGAAAAGATGCCAAGACAACCGGACACCTCTAGCAGGACAGAAAGGGAGACCTTCTGCACCCACGACCACCTAAGAGAGGACTTCTCATTGGACTACGGGTTGACCCTAACCACCAAACCCAATCCTAAGGTTTAGGAAAGAACTGCCATAAAAATTCCTGAGGATGCAGCAGCGGCCGAAACAAAGAAAGGCCACAATGATCTATCCAAATCTATTCATACCTGTTTGTAGACCTTAAATGGACGTAATCTGCAATACATTCACTTCACCCTCAGATAAAGTACAGTTTATATTAATGTCTACTGACTGTTAAAGGGGTCATATGATGTTGCTAAAAAGAACATTATTTTGTGTATTTGGTGTAATGAAATGTGTTTATGCGGTTTAAGGTTCAAAAAACACATTTTCCACATACTGTACTGCCTTTCTGAAACGCGTCGATTTTTACAAAGCTCATCGGTCTGAAAAGCGAGGTGGGCTCTGATTGGCCAGCTATCCAGTGCGTTGTGATTGGCCGAATACCTCAAGCGTGTGACGGCAATGTTACACCCCTTGCCATATTGTGATGCCTTGTTTAACCTTGTACTCTACTATATGCAAATGAGTTCCACACTAGGGCGGGCAACACCATGGCCACCCCGGCAGTAGGGTTGTGCCGATAGACAATAGTATCGTGTATCGACGATAGTCAGAAATATCGACGATAGTAGATGTCTTTGTCGATAGTCAAGACGATATTAGGCTTATTCTCCTACAGGGCTCTGAACCGGTTCAAGGAACGAAAACTGGAAACGAACGAAATTTTGACAGGAAAAGAACCAGAACCAGAAACTAAATCAAATTTTATAGTTCCGAACAGAATCGAAAATTTGCTTACATCAAAAGGAATATAGGCATATACACGAAATATATTTCACTTAAATCACTGACAGATTAACAAAACTAAAGAAAAAATGTGCTGAGTTACGGTTCATTGTGACGTGTTCCAAAGTTCTCGGAAAGGAAAACAAGACAGCAGAAAGTAGTTTTCTTTATTTTACAAAAACTTTACAGTTTTATTTATTTAGCAAAAGCTACAGTTAAAGAAACAAATAAAAAGTTACACTGCTCCGTTGTACAATCTGTTGCGTTCAGTGTGACCAGCGCCTCACTGTGCTATATAGCCGATGTAAAGGATGATGTTTTATGTCGATGAATGTACAAAGCCTAGCCTATAATAAATAATATTTTAGCATCCAGATACGTCGCTAATATGGAAACATTTGGATTCATGCCGAATGAGAAAGGTAGGCATCAGTTTCACCTTAAATTAATTTGTTTTTGGATTGATGTTTTTATAGCCTAAACGCATAGCCTTAACTTTAGAGGATTTGTTGTGGTGAGAAACTAATAACTGTGTTTATAATGTTTGTAAACATTTTGCTTTAGCCTACCGGCATTTTAGCCTACATTATTTCTGAATGTAATAGGGCTAATAAAATGCGACGTGAGCCTATACGCTACTTATGTTTTTTCACTCTCAAAACGCAATCTTATACAAGTAGCGTTTTTTTAACAATGCATCAAACATTTTTAAATATCTTAAAAATACTTTCATGTCTTTAAAGTGTTGATAGTTTTTTTTCTTTTGTTTAGTAGCCTACATTTGGCCAAAATCTAGAAAAGATGATGCTGTATTGGCTGTGACTAAGCGCAGCAGGTTATAGGCTAACGTTACCAGATCTCTTCCTGTTTTTTTTTTCTTTTTCTTTTTGAGTAAAGAAAATGCTGTACATTATTATTATTATTATTATTATTATAGGCAAAGAAATTTGTTTTAAAAAAATAACGTTATTAACCGGTATTTCTTCTACTCGAACTGGTTTCAGAACGGTAATAATACAGAGGAACGTAGGAACAGAAACGTTAAAATATCGATTCTGCTCGGAGTGAACCGATTGAATTTTTTTTTCGTTTTCACTTTACGTTCTCCTATAAATGTATTAAATTATTATTATTATTATTATTAGGTGGCCTATTATAATTCGGCTATTATTATCAAATTGCCCCACTACTTCATGAACCGATTGAATTTTTTTTTCGTTTTCATGCCCTGTTCTCCTATAAATGTATTAAATTATTATTATTATTATTATTAGGTGGCCTATTATAATTTGGCTATTATTATCAAATTGCCCCGCTATTTCACTTCAGCACCGCATTTCACACTCTCGCAAATGAGGATTAGAGCCTGTAGCCGGTGAAGGAGTCTCCAACCACAAACACAGACGTACATCGTCTGCCGATATAGTAAGGCATTTCATTGCATTTTTACAAGTAATATGAACGGCCTATATGTGTGCAATATTTTAACCGAGCCCTCACTAGCTGAGTTTAAAGGGGTCATATGATGCGATTTCAATTTTTCCTTTCTCTTTGGAGTGTTACAAGCTCTTGGTGCATAATCGTTGGGCTCGTCATGGGGCACACGGTCCTGAGCGCTGTATGACTGATGTATCCGTTCAATTTAACTTTTCTCCAAATATATGAACTTACCTGTTTTAAATACTTATATATTTAACATGTTCGTTTATGTCCAATATTTAGTGTTAAACTGTTGGTCTTTAAAATAAATCTACTTTTGATTTTCACCGTTGACTGCAGACCTTTTAGACTGATAACTTTCGTGCTCTGATGCGGCAAACTTGTCACAGGACTTGCGGTCCTTATAGCGATGTATGACTGTTGTATCCGAATATATATGAAATAGCTGTTTTACTTTTTTTATTTTTTTATTTAACATGTTAGTTTATCAGTATGTTTGAAAGTATATTATTTCGATTATTATTGCTTTCATAGGCTCTCTTAATTAAAAAATTAACATGTCGACGTGCTGTGGGGCATAGTGTGGAGCACAGCCTGTTCTGAGGTAGAAAACACCGGTTTCTGCAGCGTTGAGCCTTGTAGCCAATCACAGACATCAATCAGAAGTGTTTAAGCTAGAATCCACTGACTGCTCATAAAGCAGGAGTTTTGTTCAGTGTTTCTAATTTGTGCACGCTCGTGAATCCTCTCATTAGAACAAACAAAATGTACACATGATGTAAATAAGATTAATTGTGCAGTAGTGTACAGCTTCATATAATATAATGGAACTTTATGACATCGAAGAGAGATGAGTGACAGCTTTTTAATGATTATAAGGGGGAATGCTCTTTGTGCACTTTCTAGGACATAACCCATTCAGAATTTTAATACATTCACTCACGGATTCACTCTCTGATAAACTCTGATTGCCTTTTGCCATTGTTAGCTTTATTACTTCGGTTAAGTGAAAGTGGATCAGGTGCTTGCTTGCGCAGCGAAATATTTCTGTAGGCTCGTGTGGTTGCACTTATCGACACACCCCCATGACTTAACAAATACATATAGATTATTTTTCATTAACGAAGCAGCAAACTTTTAAAAAATACTTGAAAAAAATACTTTTAATACCTTTTAAATCTTTTAACTGATAGTATAAATTGGTCAAAATTCTAACTTTTAGTTAACAGTTAAACGGTCAATATGAGCATCCATAGTTCTTTCAAATATCTGAAATTTCTCAACATACCCAAGATGTAAATTTAAATAAAAAAATGCTAAAGTTATTAAGACTAGAGCAGTGAGTTATTCTCTCATCTTTTTTTTTTTGATTAACATTAAGGACACAGCAGCAGCAAGCAGGTATATTAGGCTGCTGTCACTTTAAGACCTAATGCATGGATCTAATAATAGGGACCTATTGTTTTGATTCAAAAGTGTCATCACACTGAACATTCGCGCCAAATTTTCACGTTCAGTGTGAAAAGGCCTTTAGGTGCATATAACATTTAAAGGCCCCTATTATGCTATTTGAAATGTTTATAATTTGGTTTTGGGAGTCCCCAACAACAGGTTTACATGCATGCAAGGTCAAAAAACACTTTCATTTTCTTATAATATGCATTTAATTTTACGTTATTTCTCAATGACTCTCAAATTATTTGTTTGAAGATCCATCTTTCCAAACCACTCCTTTGCATAATGTTACTCTGCTCTGATTGGTCCGATGACCCGGTCTGTTGTGATTGGTCTACTGCATACAGCGCATGTCGGAAAAGGAACACCCATCACCAGTACTGGAATACGGCTTATCAATAATACATCCTATTATAATAATAATAGTGCTCGACTCTGTTCTAAAAAGAAAGAATCAGAGGGGAAAAAGTTGTTTTAGTGAACCGGACCCACAACTTGGTAGTAAAGACCAAAACAATAATGGTATATGCGTTAGCTGAACACAGACAAAGAGTACTGATAAAGAACTGCAGTTCGTAAACCAACATATTGCTCCAACCTTTATTATACTCCAAGTACAACAGACTAGGGTTGCACGGTTTACCGGTACTACGGTAAATTTGCGCCTTACATCTGTTTCACACTGGATGCGTATGCAGAGCGGGAGCAGCATAAACTATAGTTTTAATCATTTAAACAAGCCTTTGAAATTTGGGCAAAAACTCCTGGCAATGTCAGTGTTTCTCAAACATTGATTTATTTGTGGCGGCCTGCCACAATATCAACACTGACTGCCACAAATAGATTTTCCAAAATGCTTTGACTTCGTTGAATAAACATGAGCACTGCACGTTTCAAAGTCAAAACACGGCACAGGTGTTTTTATATGAATGTATCTTTAAAGGGAACCGATTGTCTTCAGAAAAGTTTTGATGTCATTTTCATTTCATCTTTCCTGTAATGCCTGATAAAGTAGCATTCATGAGCGCAGTGCTGTTTTGATTACAGCCGTTACTGGGGAAACCGCTATTTCTGCCACTCCTAAAGCACCTCCTGCTGGCAGAGAATGAATTTGCATTTTCAATAAGCCCGTCTGCTGTTTTATACTTACATATATACGTATATATTTCCCCCGGGGGAAGTGTCGCCACACATAGAGTGTAAGTCTGTGGGAAACACTGGGTGTGTTTTCGTGCATTTATTAAAGGGGTCATATGACGTTGCTAAAAAGAACATTATTTTATGTATTTGGTGTAATGCACCGACGTCATTTTGTATGTATTTGGCCACTTAAGTGCAACAAGCTTTAAGCACTTAAGCGCAATAAACTCAATTTGACCGCAACTCGTGCTTTGGATGTGACTGTGAGCGCACAGAAAAGTGCCTCTGGAGCACGCGAGTACCGAATGACTTACAAAAATAATACATTTTTGTGACGATGCAATAATGACCGATTAGGCAAGTGACAATTCTGTCAACTGTACTGAAACATGAGCTAAAGTCTTGTATCGCAGCGTGCAGCAGCTCTAGATGCGCCGATGTGAAGAGAAGGTCAAAGAGAGAGGACGCAGTACAGCTGAATCACTCACGCTGTTTTCAGATGACTGATTTGATCTCATGGTTTGTGTGGATTTATTTACTCATCTAACCTACACGCTATGAATAAATGTTTTGCAGCATTTTCCCTCATTTTAAAGTCAAAAGAAAAAGTAATGCGATATCTACGCAATCCTGCATCCAAATTCAGGACCTGATTAAACATAATTCTATTATACAGAGAATTGTGAAATAGATTTCCATGACTTTTCCAAAACTTTTTGGTTTTATTTATTTTTCCAAAACTTTTTCAGGCCTGGAAATTGCTGTTTTAAAATTCCATGACTTTTCCAGGTTTTTCATGACCGTACGAACCCTGAATGTGACGATCGGGTGTGGTTATCTAAATCAGAGAAAAATATAGGTGCGGGCAGTTGGCGGGTGGATAATTTATTTGAAGCTGCGGATTCGGGTGACGTTTTAGCTCATCCGTGCATCACTAGCGTGCATTAAAGACTTTTAAAATAATTTTAACTCAAAACTCACTTTGTGACAGCAGCGAGTGTTTGAAATAACTTCTGTTTGAGATCCGATATGGATCATGATCATTATACAAGGCAAAAATATTTATATGCGATGCAAATGCACTGAACTTACTATATACACAACACAACACACAAAACTACACATTTTGTATGCTCGACAGAATATCAAAGCAGCAATTATTAATCATACTTACAGGTTGTGATTTGGAGGAGCAAACCGTTCCAAACAAACTGGGCACTGACCCATCTTTCAAAGACAACCGGTTTACGAATACCTCATTGAACTTGCGGAGATTGGACAAGCAGTCGTCAGTGAAATGAGGAGAACACAGCAAAAAGTTGTGATTATACTGCTGTGGTATCTTAGTAAAGATGAATTTTAACCACTGATTCTTCACAACCTCATCCTTTGGAAGTGAAAATAAACTGAATTTACTTTCACAGCACAAGCACAGCGTCTTCTTGACATTACGTTATCCATACGAACGAGCTACAGCATTCAAAGTTTGTTTTCGCGGGATGTCCACACAGAACTTATGCTGGCATTATGCAAATGTAAGAATTTGTGATGTGTGAAATTCGTGGAATGGGATTCGAATTTAAAACGACTTGTTTCAGCGGTTCAGAGTAGACTCTTTCTTTTGAGAGACAATAACTTTATGAGGCACTTTCAGCTTTAGAACTTTGCTGGCTGTTTACATTCACATACAGCTGCATTACACACTGCATGAAATGTAATTTTCAAAAATCCATAATAGGGGGACTTTAAGTAGTACTTATATTTTCCACCACTTATATACTCATATATATATATATATATATATATATATATACGGATATATTTGCATACCGCGAAATAAACAATATAGCAAAATCTCTAAAGATAGACACTTTAAACCGTGGTAATGATATATACCATCATCCCACCCAGTCCTACTTTATTCTTATTAAAAAAATGCCCCAAATTTGATGCCCTTAATGTTTTGGCAGTTTTACCCCCATGGTATCGAAAATCTTATTTTTATAGGTATTGTATCGAAGTTAGAGATTCCAGTAGTGTGACAACACTAATATAGACCACCC